TAACGTTAACGTTAAGTTAACGTAACGTAACGTAACGTAACGTAACGTAACGTAACGTAACGTAACGTAAGTAAGTAAGTAAGTAAGTAGAGTAGAGTAGAGAGAGAGAGAGAGAGAGAGAGAGAGAGAGAGAGAGGATATTTATTCCATTCTGCACATTCAAAACCAACCAAAGCTATCGTAAGACCACAAGAAACAAGCAAAAGCAAAATCATGAACACATTCTAATCCATGTTTGCAAAACACAGGGCTTTATACATGCATCACACAATGTTGCTGTATTACACTCCCCAAAAATACATTTCCATGTTTTATAGAAAGCACTAGTTATGGGCAGGAATGGGCCCAAGGCCTAGATGGTTAGGGTGGTGAAGCCACAACATGATGTCCGGGGTACCATTCTACTATGCCTCTTAAACAATTTTTTAAAAAATAATTTTGCAATTGGACACCTTCAATTCTCTCCTCCCAAAGGGAGAAGGCAGCAGTTCATGTATTCCCGCAAAGGCATCAGATTCTGATGGCTTCTTGTTTAAGGGAGGTGCATCCAAGACATGGTCTGGTATGGCATCCAGGGTCTCTTCAAGAAAAGAATTCAGAGTCTGCAAAATACATGAAGAAGCCTGACAAATAAAAGATCTGTAAAATGAAAAACAAAGAGGCAAGAAATTCATTATTTCTTAATTGTGGGATTATCCACAACCAAATGACTTAGATAAAGACTCCATGCTCTAAAAACACAATACATGCATATATGAGCGCCGGTGTTTGTGCATATTTATATATGCATGTAGAGATGTTTATGAATGCATGTCTATGTCATGTATGCATGTAAATGTGTCTGTATGCAAATATGTATGGATGTATTTACACAAGTAAATATGTATTAACATACATATATATATACACACCAATACATATGTATGTTTATGCGTTTAAACATAAAATAGCTTTTGATACCGTGCACCGGCGGATGGCGGCATCTGCTTTGCGTTTCCATAGACCATTGCCTGGTTCGGAATGGAAAATATTGAGCAAAGGCTGCACCAAATAATGGGAGAGCATGAGAACAAAACCTAATAAGCTTACAGAGACATTTAGAACCAAGTACCATACAATAGAGATATCTTTACTGAATATCTCTACTAAAATATTATGCAAAGAATGTTTTCATTAGGTACATGGAGAACACACAAGGTACAACTGCGAACACAAACAAGCCATCATTTCATTCATCATCATTATTCAAGCCGTATCCCAATTATTTAGATTCAGGATTCATAATAAGATGTAGTAAAGTTTTACGCTGGTTGCCGACCTGATGGAGGGCAAAATTATATTTATTTTTAATTTCTATTCAATTTTAAATGATGTATATTTTAATTGAAGTTTTAGGATTTTTAGCTTTTTAAGAATTCTAGGATTTATAGCTTTTTATTTATTTAATGAGTACTATTCACGAGTATCGTTCATGGGTATTGTTCACAGGGGTAAAACTTTCATTATGAAAATTAAGTTTAAGTTAAGATATATATAGGTCCTTTTAATCATTGTATGGATATGTAATGTCTTTGAACATTAAATTATAATACATAAAAGATGTGTGGGGCCTTGAAAGGGTCAATTCCACATGATTTTTAAAAATTGAAAGAGAGAAAAGCTTAGGCTTTTGGAACAATAGCTTGGGGTATGGAGAAGAAACCTTGGGTTTCTTTACATTATGCTTGTGTTAAGCTTTGTTTCTTGCTGATTTTATTGTTCCCTCAAATTTCCTTGCATCAAATTGGTATCAGAGCTCGTGATCTATTCGAAAAGTATTGGAGCATTATATGGAGTTACTGTAGCACTATACGGAGTGATTGTAGCATCAATTTTTTGGTGCCCTAAGTTAACAATAAAGCGGGTAAGTTACAATGGGGGTCTAAGTAGTTTTTTTTGTTGATTATTTACCTAGGGTTTGTACCCATGGTAGCGAGAAAGGTCCGTATAAGAGCGATTTTCATAGATCCACTCCGTGATCCTATAGATAACAGAATTGAGGAACTTGAAGGGCAAGTACAGCAGCTGGTGCAGCAGTTCGCGAGCCTCAATAATAGGCAAGACGATGATCTTTCAGCCCAAGAGGATCTCGAGTATAAGCCTTTTCACTTTGGCGCTTGGCATAAGGAGTCGAGTGATGAGGATAGTGACAGAAGACCTTGATGGAGGGAACATCACTTAAGGGTTTTCGATTTGGGGATGAGATTATTCATTTTGACACAGATTGTATAAAAAATCAGCAGGATATTGATTGGGATCTGCCACCAATCTTCGACATACATAGATGAAAAACAAGATCTTGCAGGAGATTCGATGATGATCAAGATTTTGTGGTTGAATTGGTATTTGACGAGGAAAAGGATGAAGGACTCATAAGAGAATTGATAGATGAAGTTGTTGGTTTAGTCACTGATCTCAAAGATGCATCCATGGTGTGCTTTAAAGCTGAGTCTGGACAAATTCAGAGGGTTACATGGCTAAAGTGATGCAATTTCAATAAATTTATGTGATTAGAAATATTCTACCGACATACAATGACCCTTTCCTCGAGGGTTTCTCAGTTCTAATACACAATCATTGTGTTTTGATTACTGCAATAACCCACAAGTCTCAAGATCTTGAATTACAAAATTCGAGTTGAAGAATATAGCCAGAATAGCACCAATTTCATCTTTAGCACACTTCAAAACTCGAGAACGAGTTTTCTCCAACTAGGGGAGAATGATGGAGGGAAAATTTTTATTTATTTTTTATTTTATTCAATTTTAAAGGATGCATATTTTAAGTTTAGAAGCACCAATTTCATCTTTAGCACACTTCAAAACTTGAGAACGAACCAGGGGAGAATGATGGGGGGGAAAATTATATTTATTTTTTATTTTTATTCAATTTTAAAGGATGCATATTTTGAGTTTAGTTTTAGGATTTATTTTTAGTTTTCTAGGCATTCTAAGGTTTTTTTAGTTTTTTATTTATTTCATAACTACTCACAAATACCATTCATGAGTACTATTCACGAGTATTGTTCACAGGGGTAAAACTGTCATTACAAAAATTAAGTTTAAGTTAGGATATATAGGCTACTTTAATAATTGTATAGACATGTAATGTCTTTGAACATTGAATTATAATATATAAGAGGTGTGTGAGAAATTGAGAGGGTCAATTCCAAGTGATTTTTAAAAATTGAAAGAGCGAAAAGCTTAGGCTTTTGGAACCCTAGCTTGGTGTATCGAGAAGAAACCTTGTGTTTCTTTGCATTATGCTTGTGTTGAACTTTGTTTCTTGTTGATTTAACTGTTCCCTAAAATTTTCCTACATCACTACCTAATGCAACCCAACTCCTCTACCCGGGTTTGAAACGGGTTAAGGGAAACATATTATAACCCAATCTGATGGATGGTGATGGAGAAAGAGTGGGACCCACCAAAACATAGACCTGATCGAATGGTAGGCCTAACTCGCCCCATCAACAACCTCAGTTTACTGGTTGGTGATGAAACACTTAGATTAAGGTTTTCCATCGTCCATTGATAATCCTATACTCATCCCTCGTAGGTTAATAGGCATGATTCTTCTCTTGCAACAAAGAAGCAACTTAACATTACTGTTCAGCAACACATTAGACAACTCATGTCATAACAAACATGTAAGACAGAAATATTTATTTATCTCTTAAAAAACTGCACGGAGAAAAGACTGCTATGCTAATTTCACTCACTATCCATGCATAACAAATAGATGATGTAGTTGGATATCTTAGTCTTAATTCTGAATCAATGTTTGAAAAAAAACTAGACCGGTCAAGTGGGTCAACAAGATCACCATTTACTGGTTCCAAGCCGGCAAGGAACTAGCAGAGCTAGCTCACATGTTCTTCGGTTTTTTTTTTCTATTAAAATAATTCATCATCATCATTTGATTATTTTCCCAACTTTTGGGGTTGGCTACACAAATCTTGGTCCGTCTCCATTTTGCTCTTGCTCTATTAAGGGCTATACCTTCAAGTGAGGCCATAAGTCGCCATATCTTTTCTCACTACTTTCAACTATGCCTTTTTGGGCCTACCCCTTGCCCTTTTTGAGCCTTCCACTTGAACCAACTCGCATCACCTGACATGTACTGTATTGGGTCTGCACTGCACATGGCCACCCAACCTAAGTCTATTTTCTTTTATCTCATTACCTATTGGAACCACACCTAAGTTCCCCCGAATGTATTCATTTCAAGTTCTATCCGTTCTTGTCATGCCATTCATCCATCTCAAAATCCTCATCTCAGCTACTTATCCTATGAGTATGTTGTTTATTGACCACCCAACATTCCGCTCCATAAAGCAAAGCTAGTCTCACAGTTGTCCTATAGAACTTCCCTTTCAACTTCATTTGTATGCGGCAATCACATAAAACTTTGGTTGCACATCTCCACCTAGCCCACCCAACTCTAATTCTATGTGCACCATCTTCTTCAATCCTTCCATTTTCTAAATTATCGACCCAAGATTTTCTATTGAAATAATTAAAAAATAAAAATTAAAAACCCATGGGAACAGGGGAAAACCCGGGAATCTTGAAAGCAGATCAGTCACCACCGTTCTGATCCAGCTTGCCTGGTTTTTAAACAATGCTCTGCATATGTTCCCTCCCTAATAAAGGAGAAAAGGAAGAGATCTTACTTTTCATATTGAGTATATATGACAAAAAGCATTTTGTGAGAAGTTTCTATTTTCCAATATATTACTTCCCTTGCTCTTATTTTCTCTAAAAGTGAGCCAAATTGTCATGAACTTTTGCGAATACACATAAAGGAGAAAGAAAAGACTCATGTTTTTCTGGAAGCTGAAGGCTCTATTAAACATCCTACAAAAAGTAAAGTAACATGATTTCACATAATTTTCTTCCGGAAGCTCCCATCAGAAGTTGTGGAACATAGGAGAAAATGTTCATTGCTTATTATTGTGAAAAAAAAAAACCAACGAATGTAAAAGAGGAAAAACACTAGAAGATCACGTTTTCATATCTCACCTTAATTACCTGCCGAATGCTTGGCTTATTTGGTCCATATTTCTCCAAAAATGAATCGCCATAGACTTGAAATTCTTTTAGAATCTGCATTAAAAAGTGTTAGTAAGACAGATTCAAAATAATATAAATGAAGAGGACAAAATAGGGGACACGTATAATACAATCCTATGGCTCTCAGAAAACCATTGCCACTAGGAACAACACCCTTTAATGAAATGTACGGTGATGGAGAGACTGGAACCCAATCTTGGGGACATGATCTATTCTTACAGGTCCCAACCTTTCCAGAACCATTCATCTTTTTTTTTTTTCTGCTGATCACACTCAACACAAATCGATGGAGTAGTAATGGACATACATATTCCAATGAACTATAGATTTTTCATGGAACATAGAAATAGAGTAGACTTTCCTAAAACGACTCACTAGACACTAATTAAGAGCCAAATAAGATGGGTTTGAAAACCTGGCGGCGCGAGAGAGAGCTATTCGGCATCCCATATACAGCAGCATCAACGAGACCCAGAGTTGACCAAGGACTGCCAATAGGTGCTTATTAAACAAATTCATCATTTTGGTAACAACAATAGGAAATTCACAAAATTAAAGCTTGCTCCTCTAGATTCCATAAAGAGCCATACATAAAAATCCCATTATCTCCTTCCATGAAATTTCAAATTTAAACCATTTTTGTCTTTTCCCCTACCAAGTTCTTTTGCCCTCATTTGTGTACTACAATGATATCTTTGTTATCCATAGAATAGCATAAGAAATTTGTAAATGTCATTAATTTAAAGCTCTTGGAGTTTGGCTAACGCAGCTCAATCAACCAACTCATTCACTGAGTCAAACACAGTAACTTGCGTGACTATCCAGATTGATTTTCAGAAAAGTAGCTACTGCTTTTTATCTAGTTCAAAAATAAAAGCAGTGTCCACCAAGGATAGTATCTCTCTTCCTCCCTCTGGTGTACAGGCCCTCTCTCCCTCTCCTGATTGACCAACTCATCTATAAAACAGTTAGATTTGCTTTTCCAGAAGAAATCAAGAGTCTCTAGGAACGCAATTAAGTACAAACAGGTATAAAAGACCAAAATTGGAAAAACATTGAAATATGTACAAAACCATAAAAATACAAAAGAATATAAAAATAAGCTGATCTCATTAAGTACTTTCCAAAATACTTCTGGCATGCATAAGGCAATTCTAGTCCTAAATCAAAAACAATAACGAAAGTAATAAGAAATTAAGTTTGTGCTAAAAATTTCTACTTCTTTGGCCCTCAACAAATACCTGGAGTACAAAAAAAAAAAAAAAGTAAAAACTAATTTACTATGCGTCTCTATCACACCAAGTAGGATCCAATGTTCGAACACAGATGGCAAAAGAATCATCAAGAGTACCCTGCAGAGACATCATGATGCAGCAGTCCTTGACAAAGGAGCAGGATGACAATATCTTCTATGGAGGACATCTTCCCCATGCTTAACCCTTATTATCATCTATTAGATGAAATACAAATGCAACCTGATGTAGATGTCCATAAAAGTTGGACAAAAATATCTCATACAAAAGAGAAAGGAATAGTAGATATGCAAATCTCGATCTTCACTCCTACATGGAACAAAATTTATCTAGCCTGATGAAAATTTTGAGGTGCAACTTTCAGGGGCATTTTCGAATTAATATTTTTATTTAATTATGTGCTTTCAACAAATTCAGCACCTCAAATAGATCACTAATCAACCTATATCAGATACAGCCGAAACTCGATTTTAACTCTCTTACTTATTATAGGCAGCACGTCCAACCATCACACCATGGGCTCCTTGCAATTGTGCTGCATGAACCTATGGAAAAGTGCAACACATAGAGATAACTTAGTAACCATGAATTGTTTCTAACCGTGAAATCCTCAACATTCATAGAAGTGGAATTTACTTATATACAGGACTCATGGTCCTTGTGGCATCACTTTTGTACACGACTCCTACCCAAAAACAAAAAGAAAAGAAAAAGAACCAGTGCACAGAAAATGCTCAAGAAAAAGTAACAAACAAATATTACATGGATATATACACTGATTATATTAGCTTAAACATTGATGACTTACTACAAAGATAGAAAAATCCATTTAACAGGGAGATCTGTTATTCTATGTTGAGATGAAATATGCCAACAAAGACCATGCATGGAACTAGCCTCTCTCAAGTAACTGCAGTCCATCTCAATATGTTCTGCATACTCATGAAATGTGTGGCATTACTCCAATTTTCGTATTTAGTGTAGAAGATGTAGTATGAGCACCCAAGTCTTAAGACGTGCAATCAATAAATTCATCAAACACATCAATTTGTATTCCACAATATAGATAATGTAGTCTGTTGACTCTGTTCTATGATAGATAACAGACAAGTAACTCATTTAGAGTGTTAATCATGTGATCCTTCTCCATTCGCATGGCCATCATATGAAGTAAATGGGAAGAGAAGACCCAAACCTGGATGTACTCAAATATGTGTCATAAGGATTAGTTATACAGGGTAAAGGTACAATAGGAATTTTTCTTTCAGATATGATTTGTTTGGAAGTTATTTAGGATCAGCCTTCTATTTATTTTTGAAAACATTTAATAGAAACAGGGGAGTATGAGGTTCATAATGCAGGTTAGTATATGTGTGTTACAAGATTGTTGCACCTTTCAAGTAGAGAGAAAATTTGGGGCATATTCCCCTCGTCTCTGATGTTGCAGTCCTATTCTGGAAATGCATCAATAGGCTAAAATTATACATACATAAAATAGCTAAGAAAGAAAGAGCCTACGAAACCAAGAAACCTAGATCCCAAAAAAGTACTCTATTGACCCTACTTGTTAATCTGATATTCAGAATGAGGATAAAGCTTATGGGAATTCATCACCAACATTTGGTACACCAATCCCATATAATGAGTGAATGGAAAAATATACCTTACGAAACTTGTGTATGACGTACGGTACTGGCATACTGTCTAAGTGATGGATGGTGGAGATGAACCAGTGTCTCCACTATCTGTTGATGGGAAGATGAGATGGATGCCACAGCTGGCTACCATATACCACGTATTGGATGTTGTAGTTTCCCATGATGAAACTCTAAGCTCCAGTTTTGTGGCCATAACATTCCTAACTTGCTCAAACCAGCACAGTTTTTTCTATTTGAGTTATAGAGAACCTTTTGAAGGTGATTGAGTATCATCTGGATGGATGTGCGTCACTTTTTTTTATTGTAGGAGATAAACAATTATTTCTAATAGTAGAGCATCATGAACAACTACATCCATCATTTGCATCCAAGGCAAAGAACATTGAATCAATGCTATAAGAGCGATGGTGATTCAAACTACTACCATATCTTCCATTGGGACAGACATCTCATCATAGCCAATCCAAAAATTTGTATATGACATAATAATGTGAGTAACAGATTATATCTCTCCAACATATAGTATTTCTTTTTCTCTAGGTAATTGGGGGATTTGCACCCACAAGTCAGGTTCTAAACACTTAGAGAAAGTTTGGAATCACTGAGCAGATGTATTATTGCTAGCATCAAATGCTACTATTAGGGGCTTATTTGCAGCACTTCTCAAACAAATGAGGTCCAAAATTGGACATAGACATACACACTGCAGGATATTTCCCACAGAGGCGTGTTAAAAAATTAAAATTAGAAGTGATTAGTGGTAAATCCAACAGGGCCTAAGCGTTAAAATATACCAACTTCTTTTAGCTTTACCTTTTCTTTTTTAATACTTTAGATACGATTTTTTTTAGTTTTACCTTGAAATATCCAGAGTATTTCTTAGAAAACATGCAGTTAAAAAAAAAATATTTTTGGTCTACAACCTACCCAGGGTTTATACACACATGCAGGATGATGGAAAGCCTTTTAGACGTAGTGCCATGATTTGTACTGTTCCTAATTCCCAGAACTCGTCTTTCATTTCTTGGCAGATAATTATCTGGTTTAATTCTCAAGCTTATTTGTGTCTGTGTAGACACTTTAAGGCATCAAAATGATGCTAATGAGAATCAAATGATGAGTATAATTGTATAAAAGGGAAAGATGGCTGCAATTATAATGAATATCACTCGCAAAATATAGTTGACAGCGATAATCTTTGGTACCAATATGGAAAGGCATGCAAAACATATTTGGATAGAATATCTAGGATGTCATTCCTTTTCATCTAAAGTAACCTTTGCCTTCTTTCAAACTCAAGACATTGAACAACCAAATCCTTGACAAATATCAGTTCAAATTAATACAAGATATACAAACATTTAGACCATCGAATAAAAGCAAGAGATCCAACTGAGCCAAAAAAAAAAGGAAACTGATACAGGAGTAGTTGAATGTTATCCTAACCTCATCAATGCAAGTGATGCCTCCATTGATTGTAAATTGAAGTTCAGGGAAGTCACGTAGCAGGCCAAAGAAATACTCATATCTGCATATTTATTTAAAAGACCATAAATTAGCATGACATGAAAAAGGATAATCATGTGACTAAGCAGTAATGAAATGGTTCAAACCAATGTTTTAAAGCTCAAGTCCAAATCAGACTCAAGCTAGTTAACTGGAACTGGCAGGCTGCCGGTTCCAGAGGGTCCCTAACTCGCCCAGAGGGTCCCTAACTTGCCGGGGGCCATAATATTCGTAGAACTGTTTTCTTCTCTACTTTCTTCTCTCTAGATCATACCAAACTGTTTCCTTCTCTACTTTAATTTCAACTTGTAGTAGCATTTTGCAACAAATTTAGATTAAAAAACTCCAAAGATTGAGGGAGCAATGATCATTTTACTGCCTTGTTTTCGAAAATTCAGCATTCTTCTTCTTTTGGACACTTAAAAGCTTTGCTTCAAGATCCCCAATCTTGTTATAAACCCATCGATAAATCATATTGATGTTTAGGGGGTTGGGCAAGGACTATATCTATAAAGTTTCAGCTCCAACCACCACATTGATTGTGAGAAATTGATAAAAAAAGTGGACATGGGTTGTGTAGACTGGAACTCATGAACAACTTTTCAATCACATACTTTTTTATTCCATTTGGTATTGATCCATGAAAAGAACCCCTTTGATATATATACTGATGGAAAGCTCGTTGAGTCAAGAATAACATATCAAAATTTCAAGTCATTTCAGTGTGGGATTTGGGAGACATCAGCAAAACTTGCAGAGGTGATCATCCTGCCATGTTGCTGATTTTTGTTCACCAGCCGCTAGACCATGGCCACAATATGGTTCACATGCTTTAGAAATTGGTGGTCCTACAGTGTGCCCTCAAGACCACTTTGAAAATGGTATTTTTGGGCGTCGGATTGAGCCCAAATTTTGCATTTAAGCGTTTTAAGGAAGTTTCAACCATCACCCAAATTTCAGGTCCTTCGGACACTGATTTCTAAGGGCTACTTTGTAATTTTGCCTTCTCTTTGGACCCGAACTGTGCTCCTTCAATAATCTTCAACTTTGTGGGCCCATATCTCGGTCATCCGATATTGGAATGACTTGATTTTAAGATGACACCTTTAGGGAACCTTAGAGTAAAATTTGGGGGCCTTAGATGACTATTTGGGGCAGGTTTGACCAAGCTCCATTTTGGGGCATCCATACATCAATTTAACATAGTGGCAGCTCCCGAACTTCTTCATCTTTGCTCGGAGGGTCCTACATCTCATATAATGATGATCCCCATGGGCTGAGGTTGGGTTGAGGCCATTTTGGTCATGAGTTCCAGGCTCCCAGCAATTCCAACAGATATGGCATCGAGAACCTGTATGACCAATCAACTCTACGCCTATTGCCATTTTCATTTGCTACCATATTCCACAAATTTACAGAGCAATGTGAAGCCCCTTTTGAATGTCCAGACCACTAGGCTTTGTGACCATTTGACAGGAGTGCGACCGTAGTCCATTTCTGTACTCCATATTGTTGGATTCATATTGTTGGGAAGCACAATAATAAATGATGAATTGAATTTGGTGGTTGAAGGTGAAAAAATCCATTTCACTTATGGCATAGAAGATTGGGACATATGAGTGATAAGGGTATGGAGGTCTTGATGAAGAGGAATCTTATTCCTACACTTCGGTTTGATAGATCAGAATTTTGTGAGCATTGAGTCTATGGGAGACAACATAGACAACCCTTCAAGGCCAGGAAAAATACAAGTAGGTGCAAACTTGATTATATTCACTCGGATGTATGGGACCCTTCACCGACTACATTTCATGGAGGTGCATTGTATTTTATTACATTTATTGAAGACTTTTCAAGAAAGGTATGGATTAAAACACACAAGTCCCAAAGTGATGTATTTTATGCATTCAAGAATTTTAAAGCCAAAGTTGAAATATCTACGGGGCAATATATCAAAGTTTTTCATACGGATAACGGTGCAGAATTCGTATCATAGTAGCTCAAAAGTTTTTGTAAGGTCCAGGGAATTACTAGACATTACACAAATGCCTACAATCCTAGAACAAGAATTATGGGCGGAAGCCATAACAATGACTTGTAATCTCATCAACCGGTCTCCTTCGATAGCACTAGGAAGCAAAAACCCCTAATGAGGTATGGCAAGAAACTCCTAGTGATTACTCCGATTCAAAAACAAATTGTTGTGATGCTTATGCGCTTATTCCAAGTTGCCAAAGGAATAAGTTGGATCAAGGATCAAAGATCAAAGAAGTGCATCTTTGTGGGTCATAGCAAGGGTGTCAAGGGATCCAAGTACCCGAACAAGAATCACCAGTTGGGATGTACCTTGCGATGAATACAAGGTATTGGCAAAAGGGATGTTGATGAAGGACAATGGTCAAGAAGTGCAACAAGAAAGCCAAGAGTTTGAAGGCAACCCTGAAACACTTCTATCAAGAGCAATTATGCCTTATGAAAATAGAATTATTGATCATAGTGAAAAACATGAAGAACTAGGAAATCAAGATGAAGAAACACATGGCCATCATGATGAAGTTGTGTCTTTGGCACATCTGCACTCTACTAGAGAAACTCGTGCACCCAAGTGGCACAAAGATTATGTGGATCCAAATATTTTGCATGCTTTGATAGTCAAAACTAAAGAGCTAACATCATTTCATGAAGCCATTCAAAGTATTGGTACCGAGTATTGGAAAAGAGCGATGGAAGAATAGATATTGGCTCTTCAAAGAAACAAGACTCTACATTGGAAAAGACCGTTGGTTGTAAATAGCTGTTCAAGATAAAGAAGGGGCCCGATGGTAAGTTTGAAAAGCACAGGACAAGATTGGTGGCAAAGGGTTTTTCACAAAAGACAGGCATTGACTTCGATGAAATTTTTGCACCGGTAGTCAAGTTGGTCTCAATCGCTTGGTGCTTGGGTTAGTTGCTAGGCATGATTTAGAGCTTGAGCAAATGGATGTGAAGACGGCATTTTTGCATGGGGAATGCGAAGAGGAAGTATACATGCAACAACTGGAAGGCCTCATAGAGAAGGACTTATGTGCAAATTGAAGAAGTCCTTGTATGGGCTCAAGCAAGTATCAAGACAATGGTATAGAAAATTTGATATGCTCATGATGAGCCTTGGGTACACCAGAAGTAGGTATGACCATTGTATCTATTTAAAGTTCTTTGATGATGGTTGAGTTTAGTCTTACATGTGGATAACATGCTTTTGGTGTGTAAGGATAATGCTAAAATTGATGAGCTCAAGACATCTTTAAGCAAAAGATTTGAGATGAAGGATCTCGGGCTGGCAAGGGAAATTGAAATGGATATGCAAACTGAAATTTTGTCACTATCTCAAATGGGTTACATAGAAATAGTGCTTGAAAAATGCAAAGCCGGTGAAGACACCCCTAGCGCCTCACTTCAAATTGCCTTAAAAGCAAGTCAGAAGATGAAAGATGAAGCATGGCTAAGGTGCCTAATGCAAATGCGATTGGAAGTTTAATGTTTGCTATGGCATGTACTAGACCGGATATTGCCCATGAGGTTGGTGTTTTAAGTTGGTTTATGGCGAATCTCGAAGAGGTTAGCAACAAAATGGGTACTTTGGTATTTATAAGGCACTACTACTTATGCAATCAAAGTTGGGAAGGGCTTAAATCTAATGCAAGGTTTTGTGGATACAAATTTTGCCGGTGACGTTGACAAAGGTAGGTCAACTACTGCATTTGCTTTTCAGTTAGGAAATAGGTCGGTAAGTTGGATGTCAAGGCTCCAATACACAGTAGCATTATCAACTACCGAAGCCGAATATATGTCGGCAACAGAGGCATCAAAAGAAGTCGCATGCCTTCAAGGATTGATGAGTGAGATGGGCATTGTATACAAGCCCATGGAACTATTTTGTGACAATATGAGTGCTATTCACTTGGCCAAGAACCGATTCACCACAAGCGGTGAAGACACATTGCTTCAATATCACTATATCCGGCAAGTTGTTGAAGATAGAGGAATTCGATTGGTCAAGTCAAAGACTGAAGACAACCTTGCAGATATGTTTACGAAACCGATTCAATTAGAGAAGTTGAAATGGAGCCTAACTTCTTTAGGTTTCAAGAAAAGAAAGAAGTGAGGCTTTGGCAAGGCAAGGTAAGGGTGTGATTTTGCATCAAGGTGGAGATTGTTGGGACATGATGTAAAGATCACCCCCATATGATATTCCCTCTCTCTATAGGGGTATTTTCATAATAGAAAAAGGTCTTTTATAGAGGCTTATAAAAGTACATTTATAGAGATAAAAAGATAACAGAAAAAGTGTTGAGAAGTTTGGGGGATAGAAATTGGGGTTTTTGCAAAAACCTAGTACCATTGTGGCCTTGTATTGTGTTGGTTTTTTCATCAGCATTTCTTCGTAGCTATGGTCTTAGTCGATAGTGGCAAAGATACGAGTCAATTAATGGTGGTATTATGGTGGGAAATATCTATTTGAGCTTTCGATGCCATTGTATGAGTAATCGCTACAAAACCCCAAAATTGTAAATTTCTTCCATTGATAGTGAATGCATCATTGCCCCTTGCTCGTGGATGTAGCCCTGTTTTGGGTGAATCACATAAATGTGTATGTGCCTTTTACTTGTGTTGTGGTTTGGTAATTTTTCATTTTACTTGTTTATATATTTTCCCAAATATATTGCACACATTATTCTTTTTGGGTATTTTGTTTAGGAAACCGGCATTTGTTGGCAAATCGAGATAACCCAAATCCCTACTTGATGTGGTGAGCACCTTACAACAATGAATCCAACACCCAAACAAATACCCAAAAACGATAATGTGTGCAATATCTTTGATAAAAATATATAATAAGAAAAACAAGTAAAATAAAAAATCAGCAAACCATAAGACAAGTAAAAGTAGAAGGCACATTCTCATTTAGGTGGTTCACCCAAAATGGGCTACATCCACGGGCAAAGGGAAAGAATGCATTCACTATCAATGGAAGAAATTTAG